CCTAGGTTGCATAGAGTGCAAGTGGGAATTGAACCCAGGTAGCCTGACTCCAGGTCTTGTACCTGGTCACCACCAAGTTGCTGGTCTCTCATATTTTATAGCCATGGTTGTTGAGGTTTGAGAGTTTCCTGCAATCTCTTCCAGAAATCCACAAGATGGGATTTCTCTCTGGGTATCTCTCTCTCTCTCTCTCTCCCCCCCCTTCTGTGTGTGTGTGTGTGTGTGTGTGTGTGTGTGTGTGTGTGTGTGTGTGTTTGTCTCTCTCTCTCTCTCTTTTGTCTCCTTGGTGTGTTTCCTGGCTCATGTTTGTCAGGTGAGTGATACATGCATGAATGGCCCCTAAGACCCAGGCTCTGGGCCTCAAAGTGGAGGCTGCCCTTGTATATCTATTAAGTGTATTCCCAGCTTGCGGTGTCACTTTTGATTCTGCGAAGGAGAAGAGCAGAGGTTCCTTTCTCTCCCCCCTCAGGAAGCAGGTGGTAAGATGCTTCATGAACTGCTTTCCCCAGCATGCTCTGTGCCCCAGCCCCAGCCCCAAACCCAGCCCCCTCTTCCTCCCTAGGGCTGAGATGGTATCAGACCGACCAGCTCTGACAGTCAACTTTCTTTTTTTTTTTTTTTTTGAGTTGGAGTCCCACTCCGTCGCCCAGACTGGAGTGCAGTGGCACACTCACTGCCATCACAGCCTCCACCTGCTGGGCTCAGTTGATCCTTCCACCTCAGCCTTCCAAGTAGCTGGAACCACAGGCGCACACCACCAAGCCCTGCTAATTTTTTTATTTATTGTAGAGACGAAGTCTCACCAAGTTGCCCAGGCTGGTCTCCAACCCCTGGATTCAGGCAATCCTCTAGCCTCGGCCTCCCAAAGTGCTGGGATTACAGGTGTGAGCTACCGCGCCCTATTTTTTAATCTTTTATAGAGTCAATGTGTCACTATGTTGCCCAGGCTGGTTGGAACTCCTGGGCTCAGGCCACCCTCCCACCTCAGCCTCCCATAGTGTTGGGATTACAGGCTTGAGCCACTGCACCTGGCCAAGGAAGTCTGTATTTAGTGAGCAGCTTTTCCTCTTCTCTCCAGAAATGTCCAGCCCTCTTTAATCCACTTGAACTTGTGCTCACCTTCCTCTTTCAACACTCCAAGTGTCATTTCTCAGATTGTAGCTTAACTCACTCCACGTCAGTCAATAGCAGCACACTCCTACCATGTGCCAGGCTCTGAACTGGGTGGGGCATGGAGGGCATACACTGGTGAACAAGATACGAATCCCACCCTAAGACACACAGTTGATGGAGGGAAACAGACTTGCCAGTCCACAACTCCACGTCAGAGAAGTCCCTGTGGCTGGTGAACCACACCAGTGCTGGGGAAGTCGGGAGCTTTTTTTTTTTGAGTTGAAATCTCACTCTATCACTCAGGCTAGAGTGCAGTGGCACACTCATGGCGACCGCAGCCTCAACCTGCTGGGCTCAGGTGATCCTTCTGCCTCAGTCTTCCAAGTAGCTGGAACTACATGCATGTGCCACACTCTCAGCTTATTTATTTATTTATTTATTTTCTGAGTCGGAGTCTCACTCTGTTGCCCATGCTGGAGTGCATTGGCACACTCACAGCCACCCCAGCGTCGACCACCCCAGCGACTCCCATGATCTTTCCGCCTCAGTCTTCCAAGTAGCCTGAACTACAGGTGCTCACTACCACACCCAGCTGATTTTTGATTTATTGTGGAGACAGGTCTCATCAAGTTGCCTGGGCTGGGATTACAGGTTGAGTCACCGAGCCCGGCCTTTGTGATTTTCTGTAGAGATGTGGTCTCACCAAGTTGTTCAGGCTGGTCTTGAACTCCTGGGTTCAGATAACCCTCCCACCTCAGCCTCCCAAAGTGCTGGGATTACAGGCATGAGCCACCACTCCCAGTCCTAGTCGGGGGCTTTCTGGCAAGGCATCTGAAGGGCCTTGGGCATCCTCTTTTCTGAGAAGGGGAAAGGCATTTGTGTAGAAGAAATGGCAGCAGCAAGGCACAGTCAGAAGGGGCTGGGCACACGTGGGCAAGGACAGTCCATGGACACAGAGCCCTGGAGGTAAACCCGTGAAAGCAGGTTGGCACTGTTCATGGAAGCCCTCAAGTGTCAGGTTAAGAGACCGATCTGAATCCAGGGGCCACTAGGGAGCCATTGAAGGTTTATGAGTTGGGAGTGTAATGGACCCTGAACTGTGCTTTAGGAAGGCTAATAGGGCTTTACGGAGAATGCACTGGATAAGGGCGAGGCCAGTCAGGGAGACCAGCTCAAGGGTCATTACCTAGCT